GGGGGTCATAGAGCCCACATTGTGAGTGGGAAATGTGGGCTCGCTGGGCAGGGTTGTGCACATGGGGAGCAGAGGAACAGAAAACAGGAAACAGGAAGGGGAGCCGACAGCCCGCTGGGTAGAGAGAGACCAGAATAGGGCCGTTTGCACCCAGCAAGGGGCACCTGCGCCCATAGTCCCAGGCGGTGTGGCCTGTCCATTTGGTCCAGCCAGGAGGGCAGGACCTCAGAAGTTTTCCTCCTGAAACTTTGGAAGCACCAGCCCCCTCGACGCCAAATGACAACCCGGGCCATCGAGCGGGATGGCGGCTGGATGCTCCCAGGCAGCTGGGCATTTCCAAGGGGCCTGTGGTCACCGTCGGGAATCCCGGGAAGCGAGGCCCCAAACCAGGCCCCCAAGGTGCCCGCCACCTGGACCATCCACCCGGGATCCAACATCTGAGCAGCCGCGAGGGAACCGGCACTTGAGTGGGTCCCCGGAGAGATGCAGGCCTATCCGTNCGAGTGGGTCCCCGGAGAGATGCAGGCCTATCCGTGAGGGTCCAGGCCTCAGGGTCTTCCGATGCATTATTTTCCCCTTACCTACCCTACGCTGTTCTAATAAAATGTTGAAAAATAAAATTATGAACATCCCTGTTAAGCTCAGACATGTTTGCAGAACCCCCCATATATCAGTGCTCACCCCTTACACCTGGCCCTCCTCTGGCCTCCAAGAACCCCAGGCCCGGTCGCCAACCNGTGTTTGCAGGACCCCCCCGTATATCAGTGCTCACCCCTTACACCTGGCCCTCCTCTGGCCTCCAAGAACCCCAGGCCTGGTCGCCAACCCCAGCCCCAGAAAACAGGGCTCGGGCATCTCCTGGGGTCCCCACCCCCCTGCTTCACACGGTGAGGTAGGGGGCCACCAACACCACCTTCGACGGCTTTCCGGGGTTTTGATTTTCAGGTTAAGTCCTGCCGTCTCGCCCTGGCCGGTGTGGCTCAGTGGTTAGCATGTCGGTCAGCACACAGAAGGGTCTCGGGTTCGATTCTCCGTCAAGGGCACGTGCCCGGGTTGCAGGTTCCCCACCCCGATTGGTGCGCGTGTGGGAATCACGTAATCGATGTGTCTCATATCAATGCTTCTCTCTCTCTCTTTCCCTCCCTCCCTTCCACTCTCTCTAAAAATCAATGGAAAAAATATCCTCAGATGAAGCTTAAAACAAAAAAGCAAAAAACACAACCCCTCCCAGGTCCATCAGAGGCTCCCTTGGGGTCCAGTTCACGCGCAGACCCGCAGCTCGCGTTTCCAGGAAAAAGTTACCCTTTTCTGTCCGACGTTTCCACGAACCTGCAGGGTCCTGACAGCAATCTTGGGGCGGTCGCCTCACCCGGTTATCACAGGCCCCGGGGGCACGTGTACGAGCCCAGCTGGGGTTGCGACAGGCGGAATTTCAGGTCTCCCCCCAACCAGCCCCGGTGATAACGGGCGAACACGCCTTGTTTTCTGCGTTCGGTTCCAGGAAAATCTTTCGAAAGACTTAGGTGCTTTTTATCTCAGCTCGGCCCGATCCACCCAAGGGTGTCAAGCTCTGAAGGTGACAATCTCTCTGATCAGTTGCCACCGCCCCTTATGAAATGCCTGTTTCTTTTTGTTTTTTGTTTTTTGTTAACCCTCACTGGAAGATATTTTTTTCCCCCATGATTTTTAGAGAGAGAGGAAGCGTGGGGCGGGGGCGAGAGAGAGAGAAATGTGGATGTGAGGCGGGTTGATTGGTTGCGTCCTGGTCGCAGGCATGTACCTGGCTTGCAGGTTTCATCCCTGGCCCCTGGTCGGGGTGCGTTCGGGGGGCACCCAGTTGATGTGTGTCTTTCACGCCCATGTTTCTCTCACCCTCCCTTCCACTCTCTCTAAAAATCAATGGAAAAAATGTCCTCAGGTGAGGGTTAAAAAAAAAAAAAATTACTTCTGTTCGTGTCACCACAACTCTCTCCGTGTGCGTGGCGGACTCTGCAGAGCCTCCCCAAGGAGAAAAGGTCTTGTGAGAGAGTTTATTTAACAGCCTCCAGCTGCCCCAAACCAGCCACGACGGGAGGAACACGTGTGTGCTCCAGGCGATTTAGGAAATCGGAGAGAAGTTTATTTATAAGGTAAAAACGGGCTTTTTAAAAAAGGTCACAAATACATAAAACAAAAGAAAAAGTTTCTTGAAGTTTGATGATAATCACCCCTGACATTCTGGTGTCAAATTGTCATGAGTATGTATATATGAACACGTGTGCATGTGCACGCACACACATGCACACGCATGCAAACACACATGTGCTCCTGCACACACACAGACACACGCCTATGAATGCACACGCAGTTCCACATGTGTGCACGTGCCCATGCGTGCACACACGTGCACACACAGGGACAACACACATGCACACAGTCTAGCACACATGCTCTCCCACACGCACACACCACACATGTACACACGTGCTTTCATGCACACACATGCACACACGTGCACACATATGCACACATGCATGAGTGGATAGAACAGGACATGGACCCAAATTGGACGGCGACCTTTCGAGTCACGTCAGAAACCTTACGCATCGAGGGGACGATGCTCGGGACTGATGTTTTCAGAATGGTGGTGGGGCCCTGCTGGGTCCACCATTTCTGCTTGTCTGCTCCCAAAGGGCCTCATTTCCTCTAGTGCAAGGATGTCCTCGGGTTCCTGTAAGCTCAGCGGTGGGCTGTGCCCATCCCAGGTGACCTAAGAGGGAAGACAGAGCACAGTTGAGACCACGGACTCCAGTCCCTGGTTGTCCCATAAGCAGACTGGATTACGCAGCCACGAAAAACAGCGAGGCTCTGACACAGGCTACAGGGCGGATGGACCTGCAACACACGATGCTCAGAAAGAGAAGCCAGACACACAAGGTCGCATAGCATGTGACTCCATTTCTGCAAAAAGCCCACAGCAGGCAAATCCATGGGCACCGCGTCCCAAGCCAGCCCGCACCTCCAACTACACCAGGGCCCCGTGCGTGTCCCACCAGGACAAGCACTCACCTCCGGGAAGGGCACTAAGGTGCCCACCACCTCCCTTTTCACCTGCGGCACTGGAGGGAACAGCTTTCCTCTCAGGGAGAACCTGGGGAGGGAAGACAAACCATGGGCTCCAATGCTCAGAGTCTGATCCGCGCTGGGATGCCTTTCCCTTCCTCGAGAAACCCAGCAGCCAAGCTCATGGCACGTGGCCCCCGCCACCATCGGGGAATCGTTTCCTGCCGGAGGGAACAGGGATGCTGGATGCTGATGGTGAGATTAGGGGCCCACGCTGTGGACACAGACCAGCTTCTAGGGCTCCGGCTGGGGACAGACACGGAGAGGCCTGAGCAGGGGCCTGGCAGGGTGGCTGGGGCCTGAAGAAGCTGAGGCACACTTGTCAGCTCAGCCTTGTCTGCCAGACTGGCCACCGAAGCCAGACTGCTGGGCAGGGGGACAGCGAGATGGAGGGACTCTCTGCACCCGGCGTGGAGCCCTGCTAGGAAGCAGACACAGCCAGGAGCGGACATGCAGAGCTGACCCCCAGTGACCCCCAGGCGTCCCCTCCCCACCCCGTGACCTTCCCTGAGGTTCTGGCTTCTTGGCTCAAGTGCACCGGAGAGGTGGGTGTGGCCCCAGCACCCCCCAGGCATCCCAACCCTCCAAGTGCCCACAGGTGGCCCCCCAAGGCCCCAGGGCCATTTGAGGCACCCCGGGACTTCTCAAGCACTCTCAGGACTCCCCAGGTGTCTCTGAGGGTCACCGAGGACTTTGTCACTGCAAATGTTGTAAGAACTTCCAGGACTCTGAGCACCTCAGGCTCTTCAGCCCCCCAGATTCTCTGACACCCCAAGAGTTCCCAGCACCCCTAGACTCTCCAAGACTCTCCAAGCTCCTCAGATTCTGCAGCACCCCAAGAATTCCCAGCACCCCCACTATCCAGCACCCCTAGACTGTCCAGCACCCCAGACTCTCCAAGCCACAGATTCTACAGCACCCCCAGAATTTCAAGTACCCCCAGAATCACCAGCAGCCTCAGACTCTCCACAGATTTCACAGCACCCCTAGAATTCCCAGCACCCCCAGACTCTCTAAGGCTCTCCAAGCTCTTTAGATTCCAAAGCATCCCCACAATACCCAGCACCCCCATGCTCTCCAAGCCCTTCAGATTCTGCAGCACCCCATGAATTCCCAGCACCCGCAGGCTCTCCAAGCCCTCTCCCCGCCAGGACCCTCAAGCATTTTTATTTGGGTCCCTCCCTATCAGAAAGTCAGGGGGCATCCTGAGGGAGCTGGGGACCCCCACCCCATCCACACGCCCACAGGTCTGAGCCAGGGATTGAGGACACTCCCCAGCCTCCGGTGGGCATCACGAGGTGTCACCCACACCGTGCACGTGTCACCCATATGATGATGCAGCCTGGCCTAGAGGACTGAGCTCAGAATCTGCAGCCAGGTTTGACGGACGACCCCGATGCACCCCTTCTAAGAGCGACCCCAACTGGGTGCCTTGTAAACTGACAAATTGCTGCCTGGAAATCAGCCTCCGTGCTCACTGCTGCCCCCAGGTGGCTGTTGTGACCAAGGACCTGCTCAGCGCTGACCCCTTTTTGCAAGGAGCTCAGGGGACACAGGGAATTACAACAGTGTGGACATGGGGGTGAGGGGGGATTCGCTGACTGTGCTGAGCTCACCGGTTCTTTGCCTTCAGGGGCCTAGAACCATTTTCCCATTTTCCAGACGCCGGTGACTCAATGCACAGACTCCTGGCTTTGCGTCTTAGTGAAAAATCCTCATATTCCTTTACCGTTTTCCTCCTAGCACCAAATAATGAAGATTGTGCTGACCCATCAATAAGAGGTCTTTCAATGTGGAAGCAACAGCATTTATTTGAGATCAGCAAGAGCAGCAGCTCGGAGAGCACGGATTCAGGCAGGAGCCCAAACGGCGTCCCGATGAGGAGACAGAGGTGACGGGTATTTATGAGGAAGGGGTGGGCGACAGTGACACCCACGGCAGGAGGGCGTGGCTGTGGGTGCAGGTAACAGGACGTCGTGAGCTGATTCTGAACAATGTGTTTAATCGTCAGTCCTGTGGTCGCCCGTCCAGTGGTCATCACATCTGCTTTCCTGTCATCTTAGCAGACAGCTCTTTTGGATACAATGTTGCTTTAGGCCCCATGCAAAGGTTACTTTGTCTCGTCAGTGGTCGTCACACCTGCTTTCCAGTCATCTTTGCAGGAAGCTCTTTTGGATACAATGTTGCTTTAGGCCCTGTGCAAAGGTTACTTTGTGTCCTCAGTGGTCGTGGTCGTCACACCTGCTTTCGTGTCATCTGCAGACAGCTCTTTTGGATACAATGTTGCTTTAGGCCCCGTGCAAAGGTTACTTTGTCTCGTTTTAACATCCAAAGATTTGAGGCGCCAGGCCGGGGCAAGGGATTGTGTCTGGGACGGCAGCTCCAGCTCCATGGCAGAGGGGCCCCGTTTATTGTTATTTTTCTCTTTTTGACATCTCAGATCTTAACGGTTGAGGTTGCTCTGTTTGGATACAATGTCCTTCGTAACGTGGATTTGTTTATTTTATTCTTTGCAAACACGTATTTCAGAAGCCATGCGACCTGCGGCACTCAGAACAGTGAAATTCCTCGGGCCTTCATCCCCGGGGTGGGGGTGGGGGCGCAGAGGGAGAGAACCAGGGGGGACGTGTGGCCCCATGGGGGTGGCTATCATGCAGCGGGAAACCCCGAATCTGTTATGGGCCTGTCCCTGTCCCCCTCTCCCAGCCCTCGGCGATTTCAATCAGGTTCTTGTATGCGGATTTGATACTGTTATAATCAACCCAGTTATTAATTAACTGTAAATAGCTAAGGGAAGGCCAGATAATACGGGCATGTCATTTGTTCAGCTTTGCCAAGAAGCTGCATATATATATTTTTAATCATCACCCAAGGATATTTTTTCTACTGCTTTTCAGAGAGAGTGGGAAAGAGAGAGAAAGAGAAACATGGATGCGAGAGAGACACATCGATGGGTTGCCTGTCACACGCACCCCGCCCGGGGCTGGGGATGGAGCCTGCAACCCAGGTATGTGCCCTTGGCCAGAATCTAACTCAGGATCCTTCAGCCCACCGGCCGGTGCTCTAACCGCTGAGCCAGACCAGCCAGGGCAGGAAACGACAATTGAACAGTCCCCGGGGAAGCCACCCCCCACCCATCCTGCTGGGAGAAGGGACTGGACAGGGGGAGGGCAGAATCACGCCCAGTAACATCTGGATGATGTAGGGAAGGTACTTGTCTGTCAGTCACACCTGCGAACGGGTCATTGGCCAGAGTAGGTGTGGCCCTTGCAAGTTCAAGAAGGTGTGAGATATTTAATGTCCCAAACCAAGGAGCCTCCCGCTCTTGGTTTGCGCCTGACTCCTGCATTCGCCCATGTGGCTCACGGCCATGGGGACCCCACAGACAGTGGACGATGGGCTGCAATGAGCCTGATACTACACGGGACCCGGCTCCACCATGGGACAGAGACCCTGGACACTGGCTTTGCTTCGGGCTCTGCTGAATCCCCAGCTGCCCCTCTCTCAGGACAGGATGAAGGGAAATGGGATTTTGGAAACCCAGGGGTGTCATTCCATGCAAATAAAAATCACTCAGCCTTTCCTGAGAATCTCCCCAAAGCCAGTGTCCAGAGTTTCCCTCCCACGGTGGAGCCGGATCCCGTGTAGCATCGAAATTATTTCTCTTGAGATATCGTAAGGACCTGATCCCCAGCATCCGGTGGGGAAGGGGACACCCCGCTTCCACCAATAATAGATCTGCGTGTCCTGGTCATTCTGTGTGATTGGGGCCTTACGGTCTGCCCCTCCCTTCACTGAGCATGTTGTTTTCAAGGTGTTTTTTTTTGGGGGGGGGCCGGGGCTTACCTTGTGCATAGGAACATCAAGACGGTGGTGACCAAAGCTGCCACACCCACCACCAGCCCCACGAGGGCCACAGGGGTGCCGCTGACATCCTGCTCCGGGAGGCCTGTGGGGTAAGAAAAGAAGGAGAGGGTCAGAAGGGACCCCGCTCAGTGTCACACACATCGCCTCCTGCCTCACCTTAACAGGAGGGAGGGCACCTAATAGTGATAGGACTGCGGTTATTCAACGATCATTCACCTTACTAACCACAGATAAGAGGTTTTCCTACAGACCCCGGGAAACCGGACGCTGTGTTGCAAAGGGAAAAAACAAGTCCGTAAAAGATAAGAGACACTTTGGGGCCCGTCGCTCAGAAAAGAAAATGCATTTTGAGAGCAGACCAAGGACAGGATGGGCTTTGATTTGGTTGCTGGGCCTGGACCCTGACCCCCTTCTGGGACTTTGGCTCGGGAACACTGAGCATTCTCAGGTCCCAGGAACTGGCAGAGCTGGGTTTTAACACCAGAGAAAATTAACTACCTTGTTATCGGACCTCAAGGGCCTGGAAGGAGACACACGGACCACAGACCCTGCAGCCGCCCCCTGCAAGCAGCCCTTCTTCCTGACCCCTATATAACCAGCCGACTAGTAGGGGAGGTTAGAGCAGAATTGATAGCACGACCCGCTGCTCTCCCATACTGCCGGCATTATTGGAAAAAACACTCATAGACGACTCAACCTTGTCTCTGCTTAATTTGGCTCAAGTAGGGACCAGAGGCCTGGACCCATTGTGTCCGGTTTCAACCTCATGATCAGACGATGCGGTGAGAGTGTGGTCAGAGGAAGCAGGGCTGGAGCAGAGGCGGACGGGACTTCCAGACACTGGGACCCGTGTGTGTGTGTGTGTGTGTGTGTGTGTGTGTGTGTGTGTGTGCTGGGCCCATGGACAGTGACCAATCTCTCCTTCCTCGGGTCCTGTGTCTACCCCAGCGCCCTGTCCCCATTTCCTCCATGCCCTGCTCACAAGAGAGAACCCGCCCGAATACATTTCCGGGAGGGCGCAACACTGCACCCCAACGCTTTCCTTCTCAGGGGATATTTACTCTCAACAAGGTGCTGACGTAGCTAAAGGAATGAATGTATAACTGTGAAACGCCAGGGATGGGAGAGAGGGGTCCTGTATGTGTGTGTGTGTGTGTGTGTGTGTGTGTGTGTAGCAAGGACCACTTTCTTGAGCCATGAACCTGCAGCCTAGAAGGAAATAGGCTTGTGCGTGGATTCAGTAGCTCCTCTGAGGTTGGGGGCAGGAGATAGGGACCAGCCNAGCAAGGACCACTTTCCTGAGCCATGAACCTGCAGCCTAGAAGGAAATAGGCTTGTGTGTGGATTCAGTAGCTCCTCTGAGGTTGGGGGCAGGAGATAGGGACCAGCCCAGGTGGATTTTTGGCGCCCAGTAGGTGTATCCTTAGAGCTCATCCCCTGTTTGCCCCTGAATGGATCCAGAGGGACTGCTTGGCCCAGGCAAGGGTGGACCCCAACCCTGTGGGTTTTACGCCCCTTCTATGGGGCCTCAGTGTTCATAGGCTGTGCCCTTGGCATTTCCTGCCTGGAACACATCTGGGGGACAGGAAATGTCACATTCACAGGCCATTCACTTTGTAACAGCGCCCCCTGCTGTCACCCAGGAGGAGGGCACGAGGGGCCCCCAGGAAGATGCTCAGAGCAGAGAGAATCGAGAGCAACAGGCTCACCCCTGACGGGGGCATCCTGGAGCCGGAAGTGGCCACCAGCTGGGGCCTTAAAGTTGCATCCTAGTGGGGTTGAAGTGAAGGTGACAAAGAAGGTTTCTTGCCCCTGTGGTTGAGTCTGGGAGGGACCTCCTAATTGGGCGACCCCAGAAACACAGCAGGCGGTGCAGGGGGAGCAAGAGGAGACCCAGCAGGAGCTGCCTGGGCCCTCTCCCCTGGGAGGAGCTCTGCAGTGAGCTCATGGACCGCCCCTCCCCAAAATAAAACCATAACATGTGCACATCCTAAACCTCAAACTCCGGGAGCAGGACCATAGATAGAAACAGGGTCTCTGCAGATGGGATGAAGGGAAGGATTTGAGATGAGGTCATCCTGGGTCAGGGGGGCCCGACATCCAAGGGCAGGGTCCTTGGATGAGACAGAAGCGGAGACACAGACACAGAGGAGAAGCCTCAGGGGGACAGAGGCAGAGACGGGAGGGAGGTGGCCACCAGCCCGGGGACGCCTGGAGCCCCAGGAGCTGGAAGAGGCAGGAAAGACCCTCCCTGGAGCCTCTGGAGGGAGCTCAGCCTTAGGACAAGTTGACCTCAGACGTCTGGTTTGCAGAACAGTGAGACGGGAGGGAGGCGGCCACCAGCCCAGGACACCTGGAGCCCCAGGAGCTGGAAGAGGCAGGAAGGACCCTCCCCTGGAGCCTCTGGGGGGAGCTCAACCCTGGGACAAGTTGATCTGAGACTCCTGGTTTGCAGGACACACAGGTGGGAGGGATGCGGCCACCCGCGCGGGGCCGTAACTCACCAAAGCGCAGCGCATCGCTCCAGTCACTCCACAGCCGGCTGTAGGCAAACTTCACCCGGGCTCGCACCGTGTGCTGGGCGCTCGCGGACGAACTTGGCATCACGTAGACGTTGTCCTCACTCCCTCTTTGCAACACCTTTCAAAGGAAACAGGACCTGCCCTGACTGCCGGTGGAGACAAACCCTGAAGGGGCAGCAGGGAGGCGGCAGGTCAGCGTCGCAACCAGGGGGGTGAGCGCAGATGCTCTTGCACCGCAGGGACCTGACCGCCAGGGGGCGCGCGAGGACCCTGGACAAAAGGAGGGAATGTTAGGGGCCCCTGGGCTCTGCAAGTGGGGCGAGTCCCCTACGCCCCTGGGGGCCACTTGAGGCTACTCTGATGCTGCACAAGGAGGTAAGTGGGGACAGGGACCCCACCAGGCGCCGTCTGGGTGGCTCAGCCAAGTCTGCAGGACAGTCCCCTGCGCGCCCCTTGGACAGATTTCGCATCCAGGCCCGTCACCAGCTGCCTCTGGAAGGCCAGGCTGTGCTGGGGCCAAGGCTGAGCAGGACGGACAGACTTAGGTCTTGTTTTTTTGAGGTGTTGCTGAGCCCACGACGTTTCTTCAGAGCCCAGTTAGGAAGGTGCAGGGTGACCGCTGTTTGCATGTCAGGCGGAGCCCCGTGGACATGCTCTGGGCTGTTTCTCTTGGGCTCAGACATGGAGTTTGCTTTTGTTGAATTTGCAACCAGTGGTATTTTATTATTTTATTTTATTTTATTTTATTTTA